ATATATATATATATATATATATATATAAAATAAAAAAAATATTTATATATATATATACAGTTATATATATATATATATATATATATATATATATATATATATATATATATATATATACTTAAAACTGATATTATTAATATTAACAATTTATTTATTTTTAATAAATTTAGGTTTATATCTATATTTGTTGGCGGTGTCTGTGCACCTGAAGTAGTGGTCGAGGTGTACGGCGTAGGCCTGGTTCTGCCGTGTGACGCTCACAGCCGTACTGAGATCAGCAGAGATCTGGAGCAGACAGAAGGAGGAGGTGGATGGAGAAACACCAGCATTGCAGCAGTATGAGGGAAAATCCACCTTCGCCAACAGCTGCCCGTCAGTGCTGTCAAACACATCTGACACACGTGATAAAGAAACTGCCCAGAACAAAACAGAAAATAAATAATAGCCTTGAGCGCCATCTACTGTTAAAAACAAGCCTAGAGTGACATCTTCTGTTCAAATCTAGTCTAGAGCGCCATCTGCTGTCACAAACTAGCCTAGAGTGCCATCTGCTGTTAAAAAGTAGCCCTAAGAGCCATCTGCTGATGAAATCTAGCCTAGAGCGCCATTCAAAACTAGCCTGCCCAGAGCGCCATCTGATGTTCAAATCTAGCCTAGTGTGCCATCTGCTATTACAAAGTAGCCTAAAACGCTATCTGCTGTTGAAATCTAGTCTGCCTAGAGCGCCATCTGCTGTTCAAATCTAGTCTAGAGCGCCATCTGCTGTCAAACCAGCCTAGAGCACCGTATGCTGTTATATAGTAGTCTAAAGTGCCATCTGCTGTTATAAAGTAGTCTAGAGCGCCATCTGCTGTTTAAATCTAGCCTAGTGTGCCAATTGCTGTTAAAAAGTAGCCTAAAGTGCTATCTTCTGTTGAAATCTATTGTAGAGCGCCATCTGCTGTAAAAAACTAGCCAGCCTAGAGCGCCATCTGCTGTTCAAATCTAGTCTAGAGCGCCATTTGCTCTCACAAACTAGCCTAGAGTGCCATCTGCTAGTGCAAAGTAGCCTAAGGAGCCATCTGCTGATGAAATTTAGCCTAGAGCGCCATCTACTGTTCAAAACTAGCCTGCCTAGAGCGCCATCTACTGTTCAAAACTAGCCTGCCTAGAGCACCATCTGCTGTTGAAATCTAGTCTAGAGCACTATCTGTTGTTGAAATCTAGTCTAGAGCACCATCTGCTGTTCAAATCTAGTCTAGAACACCATCTCCTGTTCAAAACTAGCCAGCCTAGTCTAGAGCCTAGAGTGCTGTTACCAACTAGATTAGAGGGCCATCTGCTGTTAAACCTAGCTTGTCTGCTGTGATAAACTAGCCTAGAGCACCATCTGCTGTTCAAATCGAGTCTAGTACACTGTTTGCTGAAATAAACAAGTCTAGAGCGCCATCTGCTGTTCAAATCAAGTCTAGAGCGCCGCCTGCTGTTATAAACTAGCCTAGAGCGCCATCTGCTATTCAAATCGAGTCTAGAGGGCTGTCTGCTGTTATAAATTAGTCTAGAGCACCATCTGCTGTTATACAGTAGTTAAGAGCGCCATCTGCTGTTATAAAGTAGTCTAGAGCACCGTCTGCTGTTATAAATTAGTCTAGAGCGCCATCTGTTGTTCAAATCGATTCTAGTGCACCGTCTGCTGTTATAAACTAGCCTAGAGCGCCATCTGCTATTCAAATCGAGTCTAGAGCGCTGTCTGCTGTTATAAATTAGTCTAGAGCGCCATTTGCTGTTATAAAGTAGTTAAGAGTCCCATCTGCTGTTATAAAGTAGTCTAGAGCACCATCTGCTGTTTAAATCGAGTCTAGAGCAACATCTGTTGTTATAAAGAAACCTAGAGGGCCGTCTGCTGTTAAAAACTAGCCTAGAGCACTGTCTGCTGTTTAAATCTAGCCTAGAGCGCCATCTGCTGCTAAAAACAGGCCTAGAGCTATATATATGTGTGTGTATGTATGTGCTCATATGTGTATATGCTGTTATAAACTAGTCTAGAGCGCCATCTGCTGTTATAAAGTAGCATAGAGCGCCATCTGCTGTTCAAATCGAGTCTAGAGCGCTGTCTGTAGTTATAATTTAGTCTAGAGCGCCATCTGCTGTTATAAAGTAGTCTAGAACGCCATCCGCTGTTCAAATCAAGTGTGTGTGTTGAAGGATACATGAGAGTCCGCTGTTGAGGAGGATGAAGAGTGCTCCTCTGCACAGCCGGCAGTCAACACACTCCTCCACACACTCCACACCGAGGCGGCAGCAGGATATGGGCTCTAGTGTGTCCTCCGTTAGTCTGAGCTGCAGCAACACACACGTGTTCACCAACAACACACAGCGGCCCTCAGAGAAACACAACAGCCTCACAGACGCCACAGCACACATGTCTGAAACAACACACACACACCTTTATTATTTGTATTTAAAGTGCATTGTTGCATGTAATGGAGGTGATGTTCAGTTCTCTTACCGGCGTGTGTGTGTTTGATGATCTGAAGCAGTGTATTAGAGGATGTTTCACACACCAGCGTCGGCTGATCATCCTGATCCACATCATACATATGCAGAGAAAACTCAGAGTCTAGCAGCAGCAGCTTTGGCTTCACACGTGCACCGCTGCTCACACTCACATCCTCCCACAAGAAACTGGAGAGTCAACACACAAATGCATATGATCAGGAATACAGGGAAACACACTAGTTAATAAGTAAATATATAAATAAACAAATAAATAAATAACATGTAATAAATAAATAAAAAAATAAAAAATAACAAATAAATAAATAAAATATTTAATAAATAATAAACAACTGAAAAAATAAATAAAATAATGAATAAATAAATCCTAAATAAAAATAAATAAATAAATGAATAACAAATAAATAGATAAATCCTAAATAAATAAATAATTAAATATTAAATAAATAAATAAACAAAATAAATAATTAGATAGGAAATTAATAAATAAACAAAAATGAATAAATTATAAATAAATAATTAATACATATTAAATAAATAAATAATATCTAATAAATAAATAATTACATAAACAAAATAAATAAATAAATAATACACAATAAACAAATTAATAAATAACAAATAAAATAAATAAATCATAAATAAAAAATAAACAAAATAAATAATAAACAAATAAATAATACATAAATAAATCATAAATAAATAAAATGAATAATAAACAAAAACTAATAAACAAATAAAATAAATTAATAAAAAAATAAATTAAATAATAAAAATAATAAATTATTTAATTAAATATTGAAAAGACAATTAAATAAACGAAATAATAATAATAAAAAATAATAAATAAATAAATAACATATAATAAATAAATAATAAAATAAAATAAATAATAAATGAATAAAATAATAAATAAATAATAAACAACCGAAAAAATGCTAAATAAAATAAATCATAAATAAATCATAAATAAATAAATAAATAAATAAATAAATAACAAATAAATAAAATAAATATTTAATAGATAAATCATAAATTAATAAATAATTAAATATTAATTAAATAAATAAACAAAATAAATAATTAGATAGGAAATTAATAAATAAACAAAAATAAATAAATTATAAATAAATAATAAATAAATATTAAATAAATAAATAATATCTAATAAAGAAAAAATTACATAAACAAAATAAATAAATAAAACACAATAAACAAATTAATAAATAACAAATAAATTAAATAAATCATAAATTAATAAACAAAATAAACAATAAACAAATAAAACAAATAAATAATACATAAATAAATCATAAATAAAT